TTAAAAAAAAATGATTTGAGCTCTGGAATACCCTCAGGAATTGCAGGCTGCAGCCTCTGGTTTTTTATTTGGAAATCCCATAGTTAACCATACTTCAACCTCAGCCTTTCTTGAATACTAATCCTAAGGCACACTAGTAGGTTTACCTTGAAAAGAATTTCCATAGTCAAATAAGTCTGTGAAATATTGGATTAAACAAAGATAACAGAATTTTAACATGTGAATCAACTTTGTGAATCTCTGCAAGGGGGCACATGTATGGGAGAGTTCAAATTTATTTGAAAATGGAGTTCTTTTTTTTTTTTTTAAAGATTTTATTGGGGAATTGGGAGAGGAGAACAACATTGGGAAATCGAGGTAGGGGAACAGACAAGTTGCTGTCCTTTTGTTCTTCAGTCTAGTTGTGGAGGATGTCGCTTCACTGGCCTACATTGGTATTATCATTGCACTCTTTCCGGGTGAGGCAGTCACTCGCCAGCCATTGGACGGCTGCTCACGGCAGCTCACGAAAGCTCACACCAGCTGCCAGCCAGCCCCACTGCAGCCTACACCATCGCCGGTGACACACGGCAGTCCAGCTCCAGGTCAAGCTGTGGTTCACCATCTTAGCTGTAGAGGGCACAGCGTTGCTGGCCCTCATGTGGGATCCAAACTGGGGCTCTGCTGCTCAGAGCTGGCGTCCCAGGCCAACTCCTAACCAATGCACCACTCGGCTAGCCCGAAAATTGAATTCTTTTATAATAGTGCATTGCAGTGACCTAGCATTTCATGGAGCACACTTTGGGAAACATTACTCTGATTTAATATTAACGTCATTTGGAGACTGTATTTGAATGTTTTACATCACCTAACAGCAGCAAAAGTGTGCATCACTCCTCTCCTTCTACTAATGTCCAGAGGGTTTTGACAGCGATTACAAGATAAACATGCATTCATATCCTTTATGAATCCTGTCTATAGCCCATCACATGGATTGTAAATTTTCAGTAAATATTCAAAGGAAGACCCTCTACTAACTTAATGGAAAATGAGAGAAGTTTTGGATCATTTTCATCCTTATCTTCTTATCCAGAGAGGCACAGATTGTCTGTCTTCCAAGGCTCTAGGTAATTAAAGAAGTTATGTGTTGAAATTATGTCATATTACAGTAACAAGAAGGAAGTCATTTGTACACAAAGCAGTTTATCTTGCCCTCTACTTGAAATACATTGAAATACAAAAGTTGTCTGGGGGAAGAATCTAAACAGTTAAGACTGAATATCTGGAGCTTTCAGGAAACATGCTGCTCTGAATAGCTGGGTTTTCTTCATTGTTAGGCATATTCTACCGTTTCTGATGGGCTTTTTCTTAAATGTGTATCATGCTGCCTTGTCATCTTAACTAGCACTGCTGTAGGGACTCTGGATTCTCAGTATTTTCATCAATGTTCTCACTCTGCTGTGCTACAGGACTGTCCTCAGGGTCAATTGTGGTGTGTTTGACCCAACACAAAATCTTCCCCAATGGTAGTGTTTTGTTTTGTCTTTTTATATCATCACTCCAGCCACAACTATTACTGCTCACCATTTTCCCCACACCAGCCTTTGGCAGCCCTGATTTTGTTCATTCTTCTTGTCTCCCTGCTTTCTATAATTCAATAATTTCCTTCATATTAATTTACCAATTTTCTGTAGGCTGTTGAGCAGACCACCACACTTGTTAGAATCCTTTTTTTAAAAACAAGAGGAGCGTAGGGTTCCATGAGAAAAATGCACAGATGTTAGCTGTGTAGAGACCTTTGGGCTGCTTTCTATTTTTTATTTAAAAAACAAATGTGTTCTAGGTTGATGAATTAGCCAGACACCTGAGCTATTAAAATATATTTAGTTAGTTTATTCAAACTAGAACCCTAAGTCAGTTGCCCAATGACCCCTGACATATTTTTAATTGATAAGGCACACACTTTTCATTCAAAAAAACCTCAAAGAATTTTACAGTTATGAATTTTTACCANCGGCAACCTTGTTGTTAGGAGCACGTGCTCTCACCAGCTGAGCCATCCTGCCACCTGTTGGCAGCTCAGCAGCAGCTCAGCTCGGGCTCAGCTCACTGGCCCATGTGGGAATCGAACTGGTGGACCTGTTGCTCAGAGCTTGTGCTCTTAACCAACTGAGCCACTCGGCTGGCCCCAGCAACCTGTTTTAACAACTCCTTTGGATGGCGCTCAAGTTTGAGAACTGCTGGTCTCTAGGAAAAACATATATATATTTCTATAGGGAAAAAGTTGAGGGGGGGGGAGTTTTATTGTCTGCCTTGAGTGTGCTTAATATTTATATAAATAGTCATTTTTGTCCCTTCTTTGCAACTCATTTTTTTTTCATGTGAAAATGAGAAATAACCTTCATTTGCCCTCTTAACAAAGAGAGGGCTGACGATATAGTAGGAAAACGCTCTCTTCTTATTTATCCTTCATCTCATGATGGAGCCAAGATTCTGCCCGGAGTAAGGCGCTCGCTCCTGCCAGTCCCAGGCCTCTCAGCCCTGGAGTTCCCCAGGCAAGGAGCTTCTGAACAGCCTGGGCAAGCTAAGGTCAGGGATACAAGGCTTGGCTGCTGCCTGACAGGAAAGAAATCTGCTAGTGTGCTCAGGAGTCCCGCCTGTTCCTCCTGGGGAGCCCGCCAGCTCGGGAAACACCTGGTAGGGTGGGCAGGTCCACGTACAGTCAGAAGAGCTGAGGACCTGGGGCCTCGCAGAGCAAGGACAACCATCCTCAATAACCTTCCATGGGCTGTTATCAGAATAAATGGCATGGCAGGGTGTGCCCAGTGGGCTCTGAGCCCTTTCAGAGAAAAGCATAGCATGAGGCCTATTCATAGCAACATGTATTTATTTATTACACGTGGGTGACATTTTCCTATTTATCTTTCTGGCTTCTAACAAATTCAGCTGGGATTTCTGGAGGAAATGGCCACTGCTTGGACTCCGCGTAACCCTGCCACTGGGTGCCTAGTCAAGTCGTTAGACATCGCCTCTGTGTGGAGGCGAGTTGCCTGCTTATTGAAACACGTGGGGAGGCGGGATAGTCTAATGGTTAGGTGTGGCCACCCAGACTGACTGGCTTCTGCATTAACTAGCTGTTTGAAGTTGGGAAAATTACTTAACCTCTTTGTGCCCCAGGTTGCTACAGAAGAAAAAAAAAATACCAGTAATCGTAGTGTTTACCTTCTGAGGCTTAAAACAGATAATCCACATAAGTGCCTGGTATGTAGTAAGCACTGAATGAAAAAGTCCCCAAACCCATCCTGCCCCTTCTTGAGCCTGCATCTCTGGTTCTGGAATTCTGTTATCTGGAACCCTCCCTGCCCAGCCCCCACCTGACACAGACATTACCTGTAATTCCCCATTTTTCACTGTCCACCTGAAATGCCACTTCCTGTCTAGTGCAGTTCTCAACCCCCTGCCCCCTTGGCCACACAGCACTGTGCTTTTTTAATTTTTATGGTATTCATCACATTTTTTCCCCACAGCTTTCATAATGTACAAAGGACCTCAAGTTACTCATTGCTGCTTTCCATTTCTGTATCCCTGCAGAGTGCCTCGTGAGAGGCCTCCTGGACTGAGCATACTGGTGTTAGGATGCTCTCTAGTCACGAGGACTCAAAACCCCATTCAGGTTGGCTTCTAAAATAAAAGGGCTTGATTGTTCATGAAACTGAAAATTCCTGGGGAGATTTGGGCTTCAGGTGCGGTGCCATCGGGCTCAGGCTCTGTTTCTTAGGATTCCCTCAGCTCTGGTTTCCGAGGTGTCATCCCTGTTCTCAGTACAGCCAGGAGCAACAGGTTGAGCTACATACTTCCCAGTTCAAGTCTAGGGGAAGAATGCATTTCTCTTCCCACCAGCAAACAGAAGTCTCTAACTTGACTCTGATCAGGATTCCATTCCTTAACCCATAAGTGATGACNCGGCCGCCCCAGAAACACTGACTTTTAATCATTCTCTCTCCATTCACCAAATAACTTTCTTTTTGGTTGCCAAAGTAAAATTAAATAAAATAGTGAAGGTTATTTCTTTTTTCTTCTTCTTTTTTTATTTACTGGAGAACAGTGTGTTTTTCCAGGACCCATCAGCTCCAAGTCAAGTAGTTGTTTCAATCTAGTTGTGGAGGGCACAGCTCTGTGGCCCACGTAGGGATTGAACCAGCGACCTTGGTGTTATGGGCACTGTGCTCTAACCAACTGACCGCCCCGTGAAGGTTATTTCTTTATCAAAGATAACCCCAGTTAGTGGATGCAAT